AAAAGTTGCATAGCTTACATTTCATACAGTTTTCATACACTTAAGTATATAAATGTTAGAAACAGAAAGTATTTAAAGTATCAGAACTGCACACATTGAATGTTCCTTGTTAGTAGTGTATAAATATATTTATATAATTATTGTTCATGCAAGCAGAACAATAATGTAGATGACTGACTCATATTTCTTACATGCACAGTATGTATGTAAAATATTGTGGGAAAAAAACAAATGTAGTGGAGTAAAAATACAATGTCTACATCTAGAATTAAGTGGTGTAAAAGTATAAAGTGACATAAAATATAAAATACATGCAGCCATAGTTGCATAATACCACATTGAAGTAGTAGTTGTAATAATAACTAGGAACAGAATGTATCAAAGGTATCAAAGTAAAAGTACAGACCTTGCAGAATGGCTCTTAGTAATGATTATAAATGTATTTATATAGTTATTATTCACGCATTTATACACAAGCAGATGGTAGAAGTCAAGCTGAGTATCATATCTGATAATATACAGTAGCTTATGTGTGTAAAATATTGTGGAAAAAATGAAGTGGTGCATAGACTGACATAAAATATAAATATGCTTGTATCCAAAGTGGCTAATACTACACTTAAGTAGCTAAATAAATATTAGAGACAGAATGTATTAAAACTGTCAAAAGTAAAAGTACACACATTGCAGCAGGGTACTTTTAAGTGATGTATATACACTTACATTATTATAATTATTATTATTATTATTATTCATGCATTTACATGTAAGCAAAACTTCAAGTTGTTAATGGCCAAGGTGGGGCTGGGTATCATATAAGGAAGTATACAGTATGTATGTAAAACAATGTGAACAATGAATGCATGTAGTGGAGTAAAAAAATACAATTTTTACATCTGAAGTATAATGTAGCATAAAAAAAGAAACATGCAAGTAATAAGTGTCAATAATACCACACTGAAGTACATGAATATTAGAAACAGAAGGTAGTTAAAGTATTGAAAGTAAAAGTACACACTTTGTAGGATTCGATCATTACTTTTCACACACACATGTAAGCAAACTTTAATGTTGTAGTTGATTGAGGTGGCATATTTTATACATGTGTTAAATATTGTCAAAATAATTAGGAACAATTGCTTTTCAATAAATGTAGTGGAGTGAAAAGTAAATTTCGTACTTCTATAATGTAGTGGAGTTGAAGTACAGTCACAATCAGCACAGTGTCAAGATGGACACCCAAGATAAGAGTCACCAATTCAGTATCTGACCAAATGTCTCCCCTTCTGATCCTGAGATACGGCGTTGAGTAATGGCCAGAAAAGTGGTTTATACAGAACATTATGACGTCACAGTGAAGTTCACCTTTGACATTTTGGATACAAAATGCCATCACTTCATCCTACAAGACATTTGAGTTAAATTTTGTCATAAGCATATGAATTATCGAGTTATGGCTAATAACACGTTTTGTGAGGTCACAGTGAGCTTCTAATCATTTCGTTGTTGAGTTTGAATGGACATTTTTACCAAATTTAAGGAAACTTCCTCAAGGTGTTGTTGAGATATCACGTGTATGAGAACGAGACAGATACAAGGTCACAGTGAGCTTGACCTTTGACCACCAAAATCTAATCAGTTCATCAATGAGTCCAAGGGGACATTTGTGCTAAATTTGAAGAAATTCCCTCGAGGCATTCTTGAGATTTAGTGTTCAAGAGAATGGATCGGACAGATGGGCAACCCGAAAACATAATGCCTCTGGCCACGGCTATCGCCAGCGCTGAGGCATAAAATGACATTCAAATACACTTAAGCAAAAATAATCCAGTGATAAATCAAACCAGACATGATCCATGTATTTTATTTAAACCTGTAACACAAAACTTTACCCTGCTCTCAGCTTTAGTGCTTCTGCTTCATTATAAAGACAAAGTCCTTCACATGTATCTAACACATTCATAATGGCACAGCTTTACACATGAAACTTTACATATTGCATCATTTAACAGGATCTGAATCAGATGTATTTAAATAACCAGCACTGCCACTTGACATTCACTTGATGTAACTTCAGGCAACAGTACATGAAAGCTAACACCTGGGAGAGGTCACCAGATTATTTGACTGTTCTGTTGACATGATTTCACCACTGACAGGTTTGTTTCTTCTTTACATAAAGGCTTGAGACGGAAAGAGGAGACCGATTAACACGTTCATCTCTTTGACAACACAGACAAAAGAACACTTATATAAAAAGTGCACCTCAGTATTGCTTCACTCTCTCTTTAAAAGAGAAATATAGTGTCATGGTACAATATTTACTTATGTACTATTACAGCTACTGCTTTGAAAAATATTTAACAAATTATAAATTACAGTTTTCTTTGAACCTCACATTTGGTTCAACATGAGCTCATTATTGCTTCGAATAAAAATACTGTATAATTAACTGTAAAAATTTAGGCTTTCTTGTGCATTTGGCTGCGTCTGTTGCACAAGTATTCAAGCAATAAAAAATATATTTAAAAAGCATTTTTAAATAATAACCAGTGCACTTCATGGTTGACTTTGGACACTTCCATTTGGCATGGCAAGTGCTGTTCACATCCCGAGCTCCTCCTCTAGGTTATGTGCATTTGTAGTGGTAAGGCAGTGAGAGGAGGGGCGAGGGGTTCAGGTCTCGCACTATCTTGTTCAGGCTGGAGATCTTCTCCTCCAGCAGGTAGTTCTTCTTCTCGGCAATCTTGTGCCGCTGCTCAGTCTTCTCCAGAGCTCTCAGCAGCTGCGTGTTCTCCTCGTACAGGTCTTTGATCAACACGTCTGCTTTGCCATTCTTGTGCAACTAGAAAAGTCGGAGACAGTCGATGGTAAAGGCTTTGATCATTCATTTATTACTTAATGTATGTAATGTAACCCAGACTGGAAATGAAAGTTTGGACGGTTTATGAGGGAGTTTATAACAAGAGAGCTACATGCCGCCATTTTGCCTCTATGTTCTGACTGGTTGCACTGATTAAAGTGCATTTATTATCTTGTGATTATCCATTTTGTTTTCTTCTATAAACTGTTATTACTAAATGATATGTAATTAAGCTTTGGCAATAATGCAACTCTAATAATCTCTATAAACAGATATCTTTATATGAGTGCAGAATCTGTAGGTAACTGGACACGAGATGTATCCGAAGCATCCTGGTTTCTGTCTGTAGTCTAGCATTGACCAGTCATGTTTGAGCAGCAGGTAAAAAGTCTGTGTTGAGAGCAGAGAAGGCCGTAATGCAATCTCAGAACCCATCAACTATCATCTGATGACAATTCAGCTTTTTATTGGATTTATTTTTAATTTAGCAACATTAATATGCAGATATCTATTCATAGTGAAAAGTCATCTCTCAACTCTATCTCTGTTCTCACGCCTCAAGTTGCTAATCAGACTGTAATTACTGCTGCATGGTAGAGGAAGTCTTAGCTTGAATATTCGCTGGCTACACTGGAGCCCCTGAAATATTGGCAGGACATTACATTTAGAAACTTAATCTTTAGCCTGACAGCAGATGGGCTTCAAGATTTTAACATTCATGCTAATATGGCTTACTGAAATAGTTAAATATGAGACGGCAACCATGACCGACTTCTCAAAAGAAAGGGAACCTACAAGTTCTACACTTTACTCAGATAACTTGATATTTGTTGTGATGCTTTGACGTCTCAATGTTGTTGTGTTTTCCTTGTTTAATTTGGTTGCTTCTTTTAAAGACCTCATTTCTAACAGTGTTTTCTATATAATATACTTTGATCATTTTCTTAGGTTTGATATTTTGACAAATCTGATTTGTTTTATAAGGATGATTTTATGGATCACTGATGTGGCAGTTGTCTTCAGATATTTGGCTCAGGCATACTGAGATTTGGTTTCTCTTTTTGTCGAATTAAGTAATATGACCTGTAGCTTTAGTACTACGATGTGTTTATTCACACAAGGGCACGATAACAGCTTTTTTTTTTACTTGTCATCATGATAAAGCACGATAAACACATGACGAGAGACTGCGATATTGCACTCAGGGATTTTTCTGATTTAGCTGAAAGAAAGTATCAGTAAAAACTTCACTTGAAAATGTAACTATCACTTAAAAAAAAGAAAAAAAAGTGCTTTTCATATCCAGTTCAATGATCATTTTGTTCAATAAAAGAACGTTGGAAAGAATTTCCATTAATTTTTTAAAATTAAACAAGAAATGTCTTGTATTTCATCTTTGTACTGAAAGCAGCAGAAAACTGAGCACACATTTAATATCCGTTTATTTATCTCAAATAGGATTGTTAATTAAATATTCAGTGTTACAGCATTTTGTGTATTTTCCCCATATTGTGCAGCCCTAATTCACACTGTGAATCTGATGCCTGATAATGGTCCATGACTGAAATGTTGTGTCTCTCATGAACTCTAATGACAGTCTATAAAAAAATTAATATTGGTCCATATATTATCGATTTTATAACAGTCAAATATCAGTATCAGCCTTAAAAAAAAATACAGTACTGTGACTGTAATACTGTAAACAAAACAACTTCCCTGAGAAAACTCAACTCCATACCGTTATTTTTCACTTGGATATTAAATAAAAAAAAAATCTATGTGGACATTTATGCAAGATAGTTCATGATTTTGGCACTCTTTAAAAATATATATATATGTAGGATTTGTTTTAAAGAGACAACAGTGACTTAATTCTGATGATGAAGAGCTCTTTGAACTGACCTGGTCTTTGAGCTGAGCGACCTTCTCTTTGAGCAGCAGCTTGACGTTATGCAGCGACAGCTCAATTTCCCTCATACGCTCCTCCATATTCCTCATCTTCCTCTCCCTGTCATCCTGGTAAGAAGACAGTGAGCCATATCAACACATTGCTGCAGATGTAATAAGAGGATGATGAAAATTTAAATCTTCTTCCCTTTGAGGTGATGCAAACTGAGAAACTTGACAGACCACGTTCTAATGAGCTAGATGTTTTATTTTGATTTCAGCATTAAATGATCTCTGGTACATTTCTAAAGGAGAGGAGACAACGCGCTAAAAAATAAATAAAATATAAATAGGTATAAAATTATGCCATGTATTCCAGATACATCTACAAAAATAATTTAATGCATAAATAAAATATAAATCCTAACATATTTCTATTGAAGGAGTAGTTGGGATCTTTTGTAGTGAGGTTGTATGAGGTACTCTTCCATAGTCAGAGTGTTATGTACAGACGATGTCAGTCAGCACGCCCCCAGTTTGTAGAAGCAGCAGGATTACGGACACTGGAGTGAAGCATTGTACTGTTGTGGATGGGGACAGCAGCAAAATGTATTTTAGTTGCTTAAAGAGATCACTATAGTTTAAGCGTGCACTACATTTAGAATATTTTCAATTTTACATTTTTGTGAGACAGGGAACTAAAGCCATTATATCACTCTCCTCAAAGCCAGACTCCATTGAGAAAACCAGTGATTTAACACTACTGAACACAGGTCTACCATTGCCTCGATCAGCTACTTTTTTTGCATTATTGTGTGACTTTGGTGTTTAAAAGGGTTAGTTCAGATTCACCAAAGTCACACAATAACTCAAACTAATTGCAGATTGAAGCAGCAACAGAATTGCCGTGTTCAGTGAGCTAAAATTGCTGTTTTTGTCAATGGAGTCTGGTGGATTTGACGAGAGCATAATCAGGGAAATAAAGCTGCAAACGACTTCCCTGTTGGATTGGGCTGTCTATCGAAAAGGTAAAGTGATGAAAATAGTTTGAGTACAGCGTACACTTAAACATTTCTAGATTTTTTAGGAGGCTAAAATACGTTTTATTGCAGGACATGGCTTAGCTTCTGTGTCAGTACATCTACCTGCTTCTCCAAACTGGGAGCAGGCCTACAGCCATCTACTGTATGTAATACACAGACTATGAATAAGTATCTCATATAACCCCACTTCAAAAAATCCGAACTATGCCTTTAAAATAAATAAAACAAAACAATAAAATCCATTTAAATCTATACATGGTCCAAAAAAAAAGACTCACTAAATGACTCAAAACACAGATACAACATTAACACATCACTACTGGGGACAAACAATGATTTGGTTTCTAATCATAAATACCAGATAAACATTCAAAGTTGTTTGACGTGTTTGAACAAGGGGGAAAAAAAAAAAAAAAACAGAAAGATGCAATTCACTTTGGTTGTGCAGCAGCAGCGACACACACACACACACACACACACAGTCTCAGAACACAAACAGGTAGCTTGAAGAAACATTCAGCTATGTGTAGTGTCAGATAAGAAATACAGGCATAAACAACAAAGGACAAACAGTGAAAACGTTCACAGAGAAATCTCATACTGGACACAGACAGTAACGTCACCTGACAGTTACAGGTTGCTTGATTGTTGGAAAAGGCTCAGGAAGCTGTTAGGCACTAACCTCGCCTCAACTTAACACTCCTCGATGATCGTAAGGCAAGCTGTCACACAAGAGTGAGCCTCTGAGGATGTAAATATACCCTGTCTCACATGATGATAAATGGTACAAGTGCATAACAAGAAATACACCCTGTGTTAAAAACATTCCCTGTATTCAAACTACAAAAAGCACAAAACAGGATCGGACACTTGTAATCAAGTCTTGTGTTTGTAGATGTTAAATTTCGTCGTGTCGTTATTTTATAAAATCCCATTGGGAAAAACCTCAGTACCCTCCTCTGTGTTTTCCTGCCACCTAGCAGCAAGGAAATACAATTACACATCTATGCCCTTTGAATTAGGCACCACATTAGTTCACATTCTCCTATAAGGACGCAGAAAGGACGGCATCACGTGCCACAGTCAGATTTTGGCTCCAGACACGGCAGAGGAAGAGCAGGACTGAGAAAAGAGGAGCAGTCTTGGAGGGGAAGCAAAGAGGCTAAAGTGAAGAGCAGGGAAAGACGCTGGTGTTACAATCCACCGATCCGCCGGTAGCTGTCTGCGTGAGCCGCCCGCTGCTCCGGCATCGGCCCCTGGAGAGAGAAGGCAGGTACACTTCACCACGGCTCTACCCTCTCCTGATCCTAAAATCCTACACAGGCCTGGTCAGTTAACACGCCTTCACACAGGCTTTCATGGCAAATAAACAGACAAATATAATACAATCATAAAACTGTGAAAGTCAGCTCATTATTTTAAATCTGCTTCTCTTAACAAGAACATTTCAACACACCATTTCCCCCAGTGACTGTGATGAGAAGTGGTATTATGAAACACAACAAAGAACTAGTTATGTTATTAGCTGTTGCTTTGGCCAGAACGAATGGACAGCCAACCACATGATGAGCTGACTTTGAAAAATCTGGTAAAAACCACCATGAACACTGACACAAATCAGTTCCTGTGTTCCTGCAGAAATTATTTTTCCTTCATAAGATCCCACTTTATCTAACAGCTGTGTATACTACACATTTATATTATTGAAAAGGGACATTTCAGTTCAGTTTAGCATGTGTAGCATGTGAAAAGACTTAGTGTTTTTGGAGTGTGACCCATACTAGCAACTAAAAGTTGAGATACTCTGGCAGGACTGGGCGATATGACGGTATATTCTGTATGATGGTATAAATGTGTCCCCTGGGGGAAATTGGGCACTATCGTTTCTGCTGCAGGAGCAGGCTATGTGGCAAATCAGGGCTGGATTCCCATGTGATCTTGCAAATTTAGCCACCTCCAGGCCCCCAGGAACACTGCTCAGCCTTGCAGACAATTTTTTCATTGACTACTTGCTGTACTGTAGCCAAAAAAATCCCTTGCAGCCCAAAAAGCATTCTCAGTGTAATTTAATTTTAATTTGATTTATAAAGCCTAATATTACAAATCACAATTTGCTTCAGAGGGCTTTACAATATACGACATCCCTCTGTCATTGGACCCTCACAGTGGATAAGGAAAAACTCCCCCAAATGGAAGAATCTTCCCCCTAAACGACCATTATAAAAGAGACGTCTGTAAAACTGTTAACAGGAAACCTCGAACTGCGAACAAGGTCAATTATGAGTCTTTTTATTATGAATTTTTGATCCATGCAAGTTTCATATTTGTAAAACTTTCCTTTTTAAGCTGAGAAAAGTGATTAAAAAATGTGTGGCGTGTGGCTAAGAGCTGATCGAGAACTTGCGGCGGGGCCAGCAAGAGAAATACTACTGCACATATTCAAATATCCAGAAGCCAGAAACTTATTTTGCTCCAGGCGAGGGACTCCACTGTGGGTCCCAAATCGAGTTACTGTTATACATCCTCCTTGCAAGGTAATGTGATTTGGGCAGACATGTAGCAGGAGAGTGAAGCTGTAAATACAGGAACCTGTCACACTTGATATGATTGTTTTCAGGAACCTTGAAGCTTCCTTTTTTTAAGATAATTTTTTTGGCTTTAGCCGTTACTCAACAGGACAGATTAAGCGTTAAAGGGGGAGAGAGAGGGTGATATGCAGCAGAGGGCCACAGAAAGGAATCAAACCTGCAGCCACTGCAGCACGCACACTGACTTTGTTTATGGGATGCCCACCCTGCCTACTGAGCTACTGGGCGCCATGAAGCTTCAATTTTTAGACTTTTTAGTTTTATTGTTTTTAACTCGTATTGTCTCAATCGATGAAGTCTGGTATGGTTCTCTTAAACAATTTCTTAATTTAGAACAGAATTCAGAACGATCACTGCATCATGATATAAACTGTTAACATGAAATAAAATTAGATTATAATATAATATAATTAGAAATTAGATTTTGTATGAGATCAATATATTGTGCTGTTAGATCTGGTAGGTATATGATCAGTAACAAAGTAAATATATAGTATACACAATTATTATATAAGATGGGATCCTTTTTCCTTCCTCTACATTCATGGTGACCTAGTGACAACTACTAGATAAAAATGACAACAAAAAGTCAGATGCTATTAAAATAAAAGTGGGATGACAGCATTTACAGATGGACCTGGATGAACTACAGCTATCTAGTCAAGGAGACACAGAAATTTGTACAACATGACTGTGACACAAGGTGACAAATGGAAAAAAACACCCTCCAGGACCACACCCAGACGATCACACCACTGCAGCTACTTTGGTCCCGAGACGGAAACTCAAACAAAGACGGTGAGTTCAGAAACACACAGGCACCACAGACTAAACACCAAACCCAAAAAGTAAACAGCACAAACACACGACATAAGGAGGTGACGACAGACAGGTGCTGACATGGAGCTGTGACACGCACCAAAACAAGGAGCACTGCAAAGTCAGTGTTCAAACAAAAACGTCATGGAAAATAAAAATAAATGAGAATTATCACAACAACGTGATGACACTCAGCTCAGGTAACATGACTCACTTTGAAAAGCAAATATAATGGTTGCTTTGATGTTGAACATTTTAGTGATGTGTTTGAATTTCCAGCCAAATTAAAAAAACAAATATCAGCACCTGAAATGAGTGATTTATTTTCTACAGCAAAGTGACATAAATACAATGGGTGTGTTTACATTAACTCCCATTATATCCCCAAACATTCCCAACATGTGATGTAGCTCCATCTTAGAGCCATTAATGATGAATTCATGATAACTGAGACAACAGATGGCCATAATGTGACAAAAGAAAATGATGAATGAAGATGAATATAAAACCAAACTGTGCAATGATGCAACAGCACTAAATCTCCAGGTATTAAACTGCTTGTTCAAGTTTTTTGCTCTGTGTAAAGTTTCAAAGCAGACTCTGGAAAAAAACATATTTTGTAAAGGATTCATTTGTTCATCCTGTAAGTGATTATTTAAATTGCAAGCCTACTAGAGGTGAATGTAGACATGCAGCTCTCATTTAGATTATGTTTCATAATAGTTTCATGTGCACGTATTTGCCAGAGTCTGCTGTCAGGGAAGATTTAGGTTGTACTGTACCTGCATGTTGTCCGGATCTTCACCACGATGCTGTCCCCTGGGCATCCTGTGAGGTGATGGAGGCAGAAGTCCGACCAGCTGAGCCTGAAATGCCTGGACAAAGTAGAATGATAAGTAAGAGAAGATGAAATATGCACAGCATGAGGTCACTTTATCTAACAATAATCTAATCACAACAATGATCCCATTCTTTCAAAAGAAACTGGATAAAAAGTAGATTGAATGCAAGTGAAAAAATTACAATCAAAAACAGTGAATACAAGCAGAAAGAAGTATGCTCCATACTATGGTGGTGATGCATGAGCTCCCCCTAGTGGAACAAGGAAGAATCTCTAAAATATTTTTACAAAATTAAATACCGGTACAACAATTTAAATACATATACAATGTTATATTTTAAATTAAAATACTTGGAACTAGGAGATGCCTGAAGTGTAATGTAATGTTTTAAATGTAGGGTTCACATTTTTATGGACAAAATTTCAAAACTCCATGACTTTTCAAGAACCCACAATAAAATTTCCATGATAACACATAATACTCCATCTCCTAAATGCAGTGCAAGTTATGCCCAGTGGCTGAGGGACATTATGCCCTGCCTTAATCTATAAAAAATACGCTACACAATTTGTAACTCAAATAAGAAAATTCAAAAAGGTTTGGGTTTAGTTGTATGTTAATGATTTTGTGTTTGTTTCTTGTTCTTGGTGCTTTCTGTGAGTGTATACTCTGATTAAGTACCCCATTATTCTGAACCTGCCTTATACACAGGCATCTCTCCCCCTCTCTTTTAATATTGAGCCTGACTTTCAGCAAATCTGTATTTTTTTTTTTTTTTTGTACTATTCAGGAGATGGAGGACTGTCCTGCTGATGATATTCCGTCTGTTATTAGGGCTGTATGGAATAGGGAGGATTGTGATTGGATTTGATGCTTTGTTCCCGTCATATATATGCTTTAAGTTTGATACCAGTTGTGAGTATGCATGTGTAATCCTGTTTAAATTGAATAAAAATATTCTTGATTAAAGAAAATACAGTGCAAATTAAAAGTAGTAGTGAGGAATACCATAGGTATGGACACTTTGGGGTGCTGCTGTATTTGAACACTGGTCACAGAGGAGAGCTTAATATTTTGTGAGGTGGTAACGCAGTGAGGAAAGAGAACCAGTGTATTAACACTATACCCAATTTGAACAACATGTGCAAATCAATCCATTTGATCTTAAAAGCATTAAAATAGGAGCAAAGACGTTGTTAGCATGACTCACCTCTAGCAGCTGTGTAGACAGTCGAGCCATTTGAGCCTTGAGTGCATCATTTTCTTGTTGAAGGCTCTCTGGCTCTGTGTGTCCTTGTCCTGATTCACAGCCCTGAAACACACAAAGCACACATCATAAGAATTTAAACCACATCATCAACATGCTTTGAAAAAAATTAACAAAGGTTATCTGATTAGATTCATGCAGTTTGTACCTTGGTGAGCTCCTTTTGTGCCTCGAGCTCCTGCCTCAGAGAGGCGTTCTCCTGCTCCAAGGCCTTCACCAGCGAGGACTGACTCTGCTGTTTGTGCTGCTTCAGGGACACGATGGTGGCATCCAGCTGGCGGACCTGCGGACAGAAAATAAATGACTTATGGATTAATGACAGTGTGAGAAAATGGAACACTGATATGACTGCAGGTTTTACACGTTCATCAGTTTGCTGTGGTCCTCAGCTCACCTTTTCTTTGGACTGCACCAGGTCTCCTTTGACGTTACGCACTTCAGCCTGAAGCCTGTCGTTCTCCTGCCTCAGCAGCTGCCGCTCCTGGTCCGCCAGCCGAGACATCTCATCTCTGTACAGCTTCTTGCTCGGACTGTGGACGCCACTCGAGTGCAAGGTCTTCTCCAAAATGTGGTTCTGTGATGAACAAAGGTCAAGACTACTGTGAAAATGCACCAAAATTGCACTCCCTTGTTTGTAAATTTGATCTTTAAGCATCACTTGCAAAATAAGTCAGATAATTTTATGCTTTTTCACAATTTTTGAACTTAATGTGCTAATTTTTTTAGTCTGCTACATGAAAAACAGAAAAATTTCTTACCTTTTCACTGACATTTTGCAGCTGTTTGTGAAGCACTGCAACTTCCTGTTTGAGGGAATCCCTCTCCTGCTGCAAAACTCGGAGGTCTGACTTAAGACGAGCGCTTTGATTGCTCACAGCCTGAAGAGTTTCATCCACTGTCTTGACCTAGAGTAGAGAAAAGAATATATTAAGTCCTTGGTAAAGGCCGAAACATACCACGGCCAAACTGCATGCGTCAAAACAGCTGCCCCTATTGTTTTCTATATGCAACCCCACATGCTGCAAGCAAAATTATTACAGACTCTGCGGTGGTTCCAAAAAAGGAGCAGCTTTGCGCCACACTGCAACACTTTATGCCAAGGTCCGTCCTATACAGTACATCCCAGCTCCAATAGTATTATATAGAGCTGCTCTTTTCTGCTTCCTTGGCAGTTCGAGTTCTCGCCTCACCTCTTGTCAAAGAATGAGGGTGGCTCTTCAGGTGTGCAATCAAGTTCAGTTAGTGGGTGTCCATCCAGAAATTGAAGCTAATGCAAAGGTGGGAGTGGTAAAGATCTATTATAGTAGTAACAACTGTGTGGTCTCCTGTTGACGTGCTGCAGAATGACACTTCCTAATAGCACTAGGGGCGGAACTTGACATGTCATATGACGCACTGCAGCGCTGCAGCGGCAGTGTGTTTTCAGTTTAACACAGATTTCAGGGTTCAACTTGACTCACAAATCTGTTTAATTACTATGAATCTTATTGTAAAATGCTTTGAAATAATACCACACAGCGACTGATTGATACGGATGATTCTGTGGGTTACAGCAGACTCCTACCTTCTCTTGAGCTTTGGATAACTGGTTGCAGAGGCCCTGGGTCTCCTTATCCGCGCTTCTCCGCTCCTCCACCAGGTGGCTGAGCTGACTCTCCATTAAGTCTACTTTAACCGCCTGAAAACCAGAAGACAACTACAGTTATAATTAAACAATCTCTTATGTACCACTTTACAGCTAAAGCTCGATCACACCACAACATCTCAGCAGATTACAGAAAACATTTCTTTAGCCTTTTCGTTTGTACTTTTGTTATTAAGGGTGAAATTATTTATAGATAGTTGTGATCACTTAGACTGTGTGAGTCATTTCATGGCATGACTAGGTGGTGACAGTGCTTTATCACTTTGTGTCTGTGTCGTGCTCATTAACCCCATCAAAGTGCCTGATGCTCACCTTCTCTCTGAGGTCAGAGAGCTGCTGTGACAGCTGGGTATTCCTCTGCTCCAGCTGTGCAGTGTCCTCCAGAGCTTTGGTCAGCTCTGCCTCCAGAGCCGACACACAAGCTGCCAGCTAACACAAAACAGCCACCAATTAACTACCCGCTACGACCACCACGACACCACAACGACCATCAGTCTGTCAATAAAACTCTGTTTACCTTGTTTTTCTCCTCAGCAGTGAACACCTCCCTCCTCTCGTTTTCATTTATCAGCTCTGCCAGCTGCTGGCGTAGATTCTCCATATCAGAAATATTTTGGGTATTTTTCTCTGACAGCAGCCCGTTCTCGTCCTCCAGTGATTGGCTCTGCAAACGCAGCTCTGAAATCTGCAGTGAAGATACATCAACATCTTAATAACGGCTTCTGAATGAATCGACACTCTTGGTCCCCAGAAGATGAATCCTTATGACTTTGCAGATCCCCTGACTTTTCCTGTAGCGCCACCATGAGGTACACCTGATGCTGCTGAATGTGTGTTAGCGTGTTCAGTGTGTTCCAATCCCCATAATTACAGTGTCTATTTTTCCAGTTCTGCTTTTGCGCTGTAAGCCTGCTTGACAGCAGCGGGATAAAGCGCTGGGCTCTGGTTTGTCTTTTACTCATCCTGGTTATTGGCACACCTGGGTGATGCCGTTGAATGTGTGTTAGCATGTTGGATGGCATTTACAGTCACATCTTCTGTAGCAGTAGAGCAACGCCAACTGTCCCCTTCTTAAGGCTTGTGTACACTGAGTAAGTTTTTTTCTGATGCATCTTTTTCATCCGTCATCCAGAAAAAAAAAAAAAATCGTTATGCAAAGAAACCTTGCACATCGATTCAGATGTGTTTCATTGTTCTGTTTGTTGTGAAAATTCACAATACCTGACAAAATTAAGAGACACATTTCCTCCTTTGCCTCTCTGTCTTGTCACAGCTGTGTCCCACTGCCACAATTTCTTCACTGATTCTTGGTCAAACGTCTCTAAAAGCTTCTGACAGATGCGAAAAATGTAACGTAACAACGTATTCATTTTTAGACGTGTTACAATTCGAGACAAAAGAACTGACTCAGTGTGCAAAGGCCTTCATACACTACATACACTAGCATTTAGCTCAAAGCACAACTGCCCAAGTTTGGCCTCACAGAGCTGCTAGCGTGACTTTAGACTCATGTTTTATCAAGTTACTTCAGTACCTGTTTCTCGAAGTTCTCTGCTTCCTTTTGAGCTGCAATGTTTCCTTTCTGCAACTGCTCCATTGTTTGCCTAGAATCAACAACATTTGAACATGTTAATTTACATGACAAAACAAACATGAATAGAGGTTATTACTAAATATATATTTATATTAAATGTGTTTCTTACACCAGCTCTTCCTGAAGTACTTTCATGTCCTCTTCCTTCAACGCTGCAATCTTCTGCTTGAGGATGACGTTTTCTTCAGCAAGACGACTCGCCTCAGATCTACAGATAAACAAAACTACATTTTATGATTCTAATAAAACTGTACATGTCAGAATACACGTTAATAATTCAGTGGATGAAGTATGAGGAGTCTCTTGCTACACATTGATTAAAAGCATCTTATTCTACCATTTGCACACATTGAACTTGTGTTTGCTTTTCAACTCTACAGGGATCAAAGCAGCACAAGTGTTGAAGATCTGTTGCATCGCACAAAGGATTTAGGAGCATTATCACGGGTAGGAAAACCGCACTATGTTGTGTTTGGGAACAAAAGGAGGAGCACTCTTCAGAATCAAAGCACCACAGGGATGGGACATGGAGAAGCCACAGGAGACACAGGTTCCTAGTTTTTCTCCACGTTACCTATGAGCCTGTGTGGTTTCATTTAACGACTGCGACTCGTCCTGTAGCTCTGTGATGGCTCTGCGAAGTATGGTGTTCTGCTTCTCAAACTCCTCACAGCTGTCCTCCAGATCTGCCTGAAGAAGAGACTCCTCTGTGGGGCTCTCTGATCGTCCAGCGTCTGGGTGTATGGCTGATAGTATCTCATCCGGCCACTCCAATTCACTTAACAACTCCGAGAGCTTTCGGTTCTCTTCTCTCATCCTTCCGATCTCATCCACCAGTACGACCTGCTGATCTTTGAAATCATGGAAAACATTCATCCTGCTTTCAAGGCTCCAAACTCTCTTCTCGAGTTCACTGTTTTGGTCTTTCAGTTTGGCATTTTCACACATGCAATCTTCATATCTAATCTGAAGATCTGTCATCTTTAAGGCCTTAACCTCCAGCTCTTTGATGTGCTCCATTAAGAGCAGCACTTTCACTTTGAGGCCATAGTTTTCCTCCAATATCTGGTGGCCAGTTTTGACCTTTTCAGTGTTATGAGCCAGAAGATTCTCCAGTATTTCTGTCTTCTGTTGAAGCAGAGAAATCTTCTCATGTAGGAGGATGTTCTCCTCGGTGGCGGTGTTCTGCAAAGCCTGTAGCTTAAAAAAAGAACGATCTCCGTCCTCACAATCTTCATCCAGATTTCCCAGACAATCATGTGCGCATTCATCCTTTGTTTTGGTGGTTAAATGTTCCCAGTCTGACTCTACTTCAACTTCCTGTCTACAGCTGTGAGAGTTAATTGGTAAACACCTAACCGCAGCATCCACCAGACACAGTACATCTGGGTCACCTGTCTCCTCCAGCACTGAGGGATCGACCGCAGTCTCATGACATGGCTCATCTTCACGGAAAGAGCTCTCATTGTCTGAGGTTTGCACATCTTGAGGTTTGTTCTCCTCTTCACATGATTCAAGAGCAACTTCATTCCCACCGTCTGTTGCATCTTCATCTACACCTTCAAATGCCTCAGGGGATGAGACTGCCTCACATGGCATCTCTGGGGCTTCATTTTTGGGTTCAACAGTTGAATTGTTTTCACAGGATGTCGATTCAGGGTCTTTGTGTCTAATTTCTGCAGAAGAACAGCCTCCTTCGGGGTCTCTGTCAACTTCCTCGGGGCTTGAGTCTCCATTTTGGTGATCTTCTGGAACAGCAACAACCTGATTTACTCCTGACATGTTGTCTTCTTGATCATCACTGGTAGCAGGGATGTTTTCATCATCTTCATTATCAATATTTTTGGTATTTTCCGGACCTCCGTCTGGTTCCTGTTCTTCAGAGAAAGAAACACATTCTTCCTCCATTAAAGTATTAATTTCCTTTGATTCTTCCATTTCTTCTTCCTTAGCCTTTTCCGCAGAAGAAGAAAGCTGATTTAATTCCATTTCTAACTCTTTTATTCTGTCTTTAAGCCTATCTATTTCTGCTATGAGCTCTTCTCTGTCATCCTCTCGATTGTCTTTTAACTTTTCCTCAAGACTAGATGCATGTTCCTGCAGCTCCTTCCTCTCAAGCTCAAAGTCCTCTGCTGCCTGTTTGAGCAGCATCTCCACCTCCTTGATCTTCATCTTCAAATCGTCCCGCTCAGTCAACAACTCAATCCTGTCAGTAATCTGCCTCTCAGAGATGGCAAACATCTCATTGTATTTTGCCTCAAGCTCCACCTGGGTGCTCAGAAGTTCTTCCCTCTCCTGTTTAAAATCTTCCACAGTTTGATTTAGCAGGAGGTCGGTGTCAAGTGCTTTCTTCTCGGACTGAGCCAGAAGCTCGTCTTTAATTTCAAGGCTTCCTTGAAGTCGGTTGTGGAGGTCATTCAGCTGCCTGCTGAGCTCTATCTCTTTAGTCTGAGCCAAACTAATGGAGTCATCTAGCTCCTTTTGAAGCTGCTGGTTTTTCATTAAAAGTTCTTCCATTTCCTCTCTATGAAGAATTTCAAGCTCATGTTTTTCTTTTGCCCACTCTTGATTCAGACTCTCTCTTTCTTGCTCCATTGCCTCCTCCATCAGTCTTCTTTGTCCCTCGGCATTCTCAAGGGCCTCCTGTATCTGCGCCTCCCAGTGGAGCTTCTGCTCGACATGTCTTTCAGAGAGAGCCTTCAGCTCACTTTGGTAGTGCTGTTCAAGCCTCAAAACATCGGCCTGAAAACGCTCTGCGACAGATTCTTGATCACCTGAGAAACGGCTTTCCACTTCGTTGATTCTTTGGGTGAAGCTGATCTCGATTTCCCTCCTGCACACGGTTATTTAATGATTGTTACAGCAACAGTTTTGAACTCTTTATAGTACAACTTGAAATAATTAAAAGCAAAATCCTTTAGCATTTTTTAGCTAAAGTACTTTTTTTTTTTTGGCAGAATATTAGGCCTGTCACAATAACTACTTTTGTTGGACAATATATTGCCCAGAAATAATTACGATAAACAATATCATTTTCATTTTGAGACCATTTTTTGCCAATGATATACTGAAAATACAATAGCATAATAATGCAAATGCACCATTTTAAAGAGCAATTAACTGTTAATGCTTAAGAATATTTAGATATTGGAATTAAAATATGAAAAAAATGAACATATCTTAAAAAAAAAGTAATTAACAATATATTCAAGAAAGTACATAGAAAATTTTAGTACCTTTTTAGGAATAGCCCAAAATTACTCCGTGAGAATTAACGGTCCAGTGTGTAGAATTTAGTGGAATCTGGCCGCAAGTTTGCACAGCTGATACTTCTGCCATTCGCCAAGCGTGTAGAAAAACTATGGTGGCTGATGCAAAAATGCGAATGGCCCTATCTGGAGCCTTTGTTTGATTGTCTGTTCTGGGCTATGGTGAAACAACATGGCAGACCTGAAGATGACCTGCTCCGTACGTAGACATAAATGGCTCATTCTGTGGTAACAAAAACACAACTATTCTTATTTTCAGGTGATTATAAACTAACATTCATAACAGGGTTATGAACATTATATTCCATTTCTGTCAATATCTCCCCCTAAGTCCCACACACTGGACCTTGAACACAAACTCTGGCCAACAAAACAAAACCAAGTGATGCCTCTTGCAACTAAAGCCCTTTTCCCACCCAACTAAAAACCCACTAACATCTAGTTTTGTATTATTAATGGGAAAGGTTACAATCTGCATTTCATGCTGGCACATATGAATCTGCAGTAATTAGGGGTAATAATCAGTTCCAGCTCCAATTGGCATTGATCGGCAGTAATGGTAAAACTACATCCAGGTGGGCGCGCTACTTTTCGTCCCTTTTTCAGCACAATACAATGATAGGCCAGCACAAAATCCCACCTATCTCCGTCCAAGCAGCACACAAACATCGTCCAAAATTGGTCTGCACCAAGTATGACAGAAGGATTGAATATGAAACAGATATAAAAAAAAGAAGTGAGAACCATCACATTTTATTGGTCCAACATTTTCATTGGACTAACCTGTTTTCTGGCACATTTGGGACGCAGAACATTACACACTACGTCTATTACAGAACCATGTACACAGCTAAAGTCTAATGGCGATAGGAAAGGCATCCATCTACTATTTTTAGAGGGTTTTCCCGTGTTTACAAAAACCTGCATATACATGCTTATTTTGTTGGGAAAAAAGTATAATAGAGAGGCTTGGTGAAGCTCCGGGAACACCGCAGTTATCTCCATCATTCAACTGATGTGCTGCCAGGGATGGACAGTCTGGGAGCCTGGCGTTTTGATAGTGGTTTCATGGAGTGGAGGACGAAGTTGTTGGAGAGTAAAACTACTAAGAGTAAGTTTTGGCGAATTACAAAGGGTTGGTGAGCTAATGACTATCAGGACTGTGCCTCTTCCACTCCAAAAGTGCAGCTGCAGGCAAGTAAGGCAGGTACGCTATGAGGTGGTGTCTCTTACGTGTTATATTTCTTAAGACTCACCCAAGTAGTAGGGGTAGAGAGGAAAAAGAAAGACAGAGTTGATGCGCTCAATTCTAATAATGGTCGGAAAATCCCTGCTGTTTATTCTGGCATCACGTTGGCTAAAATGTTGGTCACTTATTGGAAGATAAATTAGTAACGTAATTATCGTGACAGGCCGTTTGAAAAGGACGAATGTGAAGGACAAAAAAAGTTTAATCAATAAAGAAGTTCCTATAATACAAACAATTAAAAACATCTCACCTCTCTTGAGCGATGTCATCCTGTAGTTTGCCCAACATGGTGCTGAGAGCCTCCCTCTCTTCACTGTGTTTGTCAGTCAGCTCCTTCAGGGCCTCTCGGTGGCTTTCCTCTAGACGAGCCCTCTCCTCTGCCAGTAAGTGTTCTAGTCTCTTCTCGTCCTCCTCTCTCTCAGTCTCAAGCTTCTGCCTCTCTTCATTCAGCCTGTCCTGTACCATCCCTTCGTAATCCTCCTCCAGCTGCAGTCTCTCCCTCTCCCACTCCTCCTTCAGCTTTTTCTCCCTCTGCTCAAACATCTCCTGTACCTGCAACCTCTCTTGAAGCACTCTATCGAGCAGAGCCTCCTCCTGACGCTCCTGAAGCTGGGCTCGTTCGCTCTCCCACTGCTCCCTGAGCTTGGCCTCCTTCTCCTCTTGCTCCCTGACAAGTCTCAACATCTCTTCCTCCAACACCACCTGCAGGGACTCATTATTCTGTTCATCCAGCTGAGCCCTCTCTGTCTGCCACTGCTCTGTCAGCCTCTGCACAATCTCATCACGCTCCTCCTCAAACCTAACCTTTGCCTCCTCTAGTCTGGCCTTCAGTTCATCCACATAGCTTTGCTGCAACAGCTCCTTCTCCCTCTCGCTATCATCTAACAATCTCTTCTCGAACTCAGCCTTTTCTTCCTGCAGTTTCTTTCTCTCCTCGTCCAGTCTGGCTTCAAGAAGCTCTTCATGCTCTTCATCCAGTTTATTCATCTCAGCAGCATGTTGTTTCCTCAGCTCATCTATCTCATTGGCGAGGTTGCCATCCATCTCGGTCTGCTGGGCTTCAAGTGTCTTCAGCTGCTCCTCCAGGTCTGCAGTGTAGGTGTGGGCCTCTAGCAGTTGTTGTCTCAGAGTTCCCACTTGCTCCTCTTGCAGATTCTCCAGCTCTGCCCTCTCCTCGGCCTGCTTCTGCTCCAGAGAAGTCCGCTCAAGTTCGGCCTGTTCCAGCTGGCTCTGGAGCTCCTGTTTGTGACTTTGAATGCTGTCCATCTCCTCCCTCAGAGCCTGGACCTCCTGCTGGTACTGGAGGGTTAAGGCAGCCTTCTGGTCCTCATGAGTCGCCCTCTGCTTTCCCACCATCTTATCAAATTCATTGATCTGTTGCAATAAAAAGAGGAAACAGAGGAATTATATTAGACATCATCTTGGACTTTGAGAAGTTGGGATGGACATTTTCCATTATTTATTGACATTTGATAGACCAAACGATAAATCCAGAAGTAACCAGCAGATCAACTGATAGGAGTTAATTTTTCATTTCACTTATCTTGATGGTTAAGTTGGATTAAACCTGTGATGAAGCCAGTAATTTGAGGTAAAGACCAATTCAAGCACATATCAATGGCCAAAATGCACTACAGTATCTCGTGTCAATTCACAAGATTGATATTACATCAATATGTCTCCCTGCTCTTTCCACCTCTAATCTTTATAACACATGTTCATCCAACACTGTGAAATATAAAAAGGTATCTGCTACACTAACCTTGCTTTCCAGCTGGTTTCGCAGATCCTCAATTTCCTGAAGGTGCTGCTCCTTCAGCTGCTCTAACATCATCTCTGCCTCAAGGCTCATGCTGAAGGGCTGAACCTCATCTGAACCGATACCTGCAAAAAGTCATGTCAGAAGTTGGTGACATTTAACACAGTGTTTTCTTGTTTCTATGCAAAATGTTTACGTACTGACTGTTGACATGAACAGATGTAGTCAGGGCTCTGTAATTAGCTCTCCAGGGACTATATGTTCATATATGTGTTGTGTAAGTATTCATTACCTGGATCAGACTCCATGCCGGGGCTTTTACTCTCCAGCTCTTCGGAGAGAGGTTTGTGGCAGGGTTGATGAACTCTTCCGAGACTGTGAAACTCCTGCAACTCTGACTGCAGCTCGTCAATACGATCCTGCAGCTCCTACCAAATGAAAGCACAATGAGCTAAACACGCATCTAACATCAAGTCTGTAATGAAAATACCACTGCATGTGCAGCCATGCAAAGAGGGCACTCAAGAAAAGGTGGGCATTTTTTATGATTTTGTTGCAGTTACCCTGTACTGAGCTTCGTAGCCACTGCGTAGGTCCTTGATGCGTTCTTCCTGGAGAAGAAAGTCTGCACTGCTGGGGTCCAAGTCCCCAAACTAAACAAATGAAGGCAAAAGGGGAGAGGGGACACAGAAGGGGTTATGCAAGCAAAAAACAACACAAAAACAAAGATAATGAATGTGGTGTTTAAATAGAGAAAGTCAGTATTGAAGTTATGGAGAGCCATAAAATATGTCTGTACCCGTTCTTTCATAACGTTGTCCAAACTTGTCTGGAGTTTTGTATTTTGGCTCTGTGCCTCCACTAGTTTTTCTGTGGCGTCCAGTAGCTCCATTTCAAGGCGTCTGTTTTCCTAAAAACATAAAAGACCCAAACAACATACATTAACAATAATTTAAAAAAAAAATTAATATGCAGATGATATTGTAATGTTTACTGAGGAAATTGAAGCTCATCAATGAGTGTTTTGTACATCAATAGACCATATAAAAACAGTAAACTGAAGCAAAGGGAGTCTGTCTGGTACCTTCACAGAGATGGAGAGGTGGTCCCTGAGAAAAGATTCATCCTCTTTGATCTTCTCCACCTCTGCCTCCAGTTCCTTGCGCTGCGCGTCGGCCTGCTGCTGCATCTGGTCCATCTCCTTCATCAGCTCTGATCGTGCTGCAGCGAGCTTCTCTTTGTGCTCCTGTTCAAGCTTCCTGTGGACATTCGGGCGCACAGAAAACAGAATGTAACACTGACTGTGACAAATGTTAAGAGGAGGCTGGATTCAGTTGAATGGATGACTTTGAGTTTAGCAGGTTATTGTGGTTAAAATAAATACATTGTACAACATCTATCAATAAATGTAAAGCTAAAGTATCTAAAACTAATTATGATCAGTTGCAGTCTTTATGAACAGCCTGGATAAAGGGATAAAGAGTGACAACTATAAGACCACAGTATTTTAATCCCAGGAATGAGGCCGAGATGTAGAGAAGAAGACGGCACAATCAAGCATAAATCTATAAAATTATTCTGTAAACCTGAAATGGATGGAGGCCTCTTGCTGTGATAAAACTGGAGAACCAACAGCAAACTGGTGTAACCTGAGCCACTGTATAAATTACCTGAGATTGAGGTTATTCATCTGCTCGATCGCAGAGTGACGCTCATCCACCTCAGTGGCGAGCTGAGTTTTCAGTTTCTCTGCTTTCTCCAGGTCAGATCGTATCTTCTCTTTCTCCCTTAATTCTCTGTCCACGCGCTCTCTGATGAGAGAAAAACAACAGGGACAATAACTGTACAAAGATGTAGCCATGACACATGACAACAGACACAAACCAGCAATCATCCTGCAGGTTTTATTTCAGACTAACAGGCTCAAAATGATTCCAGATATATTTATCAAATATAATCAAACAGTATTAATGTCTGAATGAGCTGCATCATAGTGATGACTCATACTCACAGGAGATATCTGATCTCAGCTTTGAAGCTCGCAAGTGCCGCTTGGTGGATCCCATTCTTAGTAACAAGGAGCTCATTCTCAAGTGCCAGGGTGAGATCGCTCAGACTCAGTTTTCCATCGAGGTTAAAATTCAAAGCCTGCAAAGGAAATAATAATAATTATAAATCCTTGACTTTTTAAAATCATGGAGTAAATACAAAACCTGTCTGACTTCCTTTATGTCATCAGCTATCTACAGCAGTGTATTGGAGCTATTATAAGTAAATAAATAAACAAATAAATACTTTTTTAAAATACAGAGCCAGAGGAGAAGGGTAAAATTACAAGAAAACACTCCAAATTAAAATCGTAAATTAATGAGATAAAATCTTTAATATTCTCCAAGACTACGTTGGTAAATTTATGAGAAGAAACTCACAAATATACCAGAGAAAAAAAATATTCTCTGAGATTACAATCATATATTTAACACAGAAAGAACTTGGAAAGATATACATATATGTTAAGGCACCATATTACTTCAATGTGCAAGGCTGGATCAACCTCATCACACCACAGACACAACCACTTGCTATGTATTATGCCTGCTATGGATCTATGGACCTAATCAAATTAGTCTGTTTCAAAACATACAAATTATTTAAATGCACAAATTCAAAATACTGATAATAACTAACACTGATGGTCACAGTCATAGTTAGAGGAACAAGTACCTGCAGGATCTCAGTGCTGTTTTCTATTCCCTCATCTATCCAGGCATCCAGGAGGTATTCAACTGGAGTGAAACCGGTACCATCGTCGAGGTTGGAGAAGAGACGCATGCCGATGGTGCTTGTCAGGGCAGAGGGGGTTGCTATCCTCCTGCCTCCTTCATCAAAGGGCTGTACGGGGGGAAAATTGTGTCTCTTTACTGGAGAAAGATAACATTTCCCTGAGCTGCCGACACAGCAGAGTGTGCAGTGTGTGCTTGGTGCTGCTGTTTACAGAGCGTTACTGTTCATCACTGTGGATCATTATCATTATAGTTATTGTTCATGGTGTGGACTGCTCTAATATCTCCAAAATTCCACTTAATGCTTTCTGGGGGACCAAATGCAATCTGAAATCTAGCTTTGAATGACTCTATTACAGAGGAACTAGAAAAGAAAAATGATTTTATCAACCTACACTTTGTTTTAGACATCTTTTTTAAGTGATAGATAATTGGCTCTGTAAAAAACCCTCTCTAATAAAGCAAGAACAGATAACAATAAATAATGACCTAAGAGAAATGAACAACAGGGGATTTACCCTTCATTTTACCACCTCATAAGAGCTAAACAAACAAGTACCTGAGTGGAAAGGTGTCGTTTCAGTTGTCTGTAGGGCGTGGAGGCGGACGGTGTGGGGGGTTTGTTGTGGTTTACAACCCTGGAAACAAACTCCTGAACACTCATTATGCCATCGCTGGTTAGACTCTGGAGTATATCCGCATTTATCTGGAAATGATTAATGGTTTAATTGAGAAAAGAGTCAGATATCAGTAGTTGCAGCCAAATATATGTGTCAATAATATTATACAGTATACTTTATACTTTTCCTAATGTAAAAAAGAAATTTCTCAAGGCAGAAAACACTTTTATTGGACTCGAATTGTCTAAATGAGTTATTTAATCATAGAAAGAACAACAAAAACAAGACAATATGGAAGTGTATGACTATTTTAACATCAATAAATTATAACAAGATTAATTTAGAGCCATAAGACCTCTGCTGTGAGGATGTAATTTACATTTTGTGTCGCTTGGTCAAAGAGATGATGATGTATAAACTTTTAACTCTGTATTGATGAGATCTGAAAAGCTCCCCTGAAACAAACTGCTTCTCTGTTAACTTTTAATCTGACCTCCAGGCCCAGGTGTTCACAAAGAGCGAGCAGTTCGGTGTGACCGGCACACCCGTCCCATGATATCTGCAGCTCGTCACAGGCTTCACGCAGTCTCTCCTCTACACAGGTCGGCAGAGGAACGATGGATCCCCGAGGTGTGCTTGGTTCATCGGGGTTCCAGAGATGCATCTGACCTAAATACATGATTAGAGGACACTGTGAGCATTTGGTGACAAACATCTATGGAGTGGATTTAATGAAAATACTGCGACTTTGACGTACCTTCTGCCTCGTACTCCTCTGTGCTTGTTTCGTGAGCATTCCAGCGCTGTTAGACACAAAAACACACACAGATTAGTACAATACAAGAGGCTAGTCTTGTTGTTCAAAATCATAGAAAGTCATTTGTGAGAAAAAATGACCACATTAAAATCTTTGCAGGCTGATTCTCTCATGTGACAATCAGCTGTTTATTAGTTCAAACATTTTTAAATGAGGCGAGGTTGGGGCTGCGAGCAAAGGGGGGCAGGAGTGTCTGACAAAAAGCACAAAAGAGCTTTTGTGATGACACGAGGGCATCAGGGACGGTCAGTGTGCAAATCAGGAATGGTGGTAATAATAGAAAAAATGCGTCACGGAGGGACACACTTCTTTCTTCTTCTTTTACATTTTCAAACATGTTAATGGGGCATTACCTATGCCAATGTGCAACATTTAAAAACTTAAATAAATAAGAGGCTAATGCTGAAACTGAACCGCTCACTCACTCAGGGAAAAGATGTTTTAAAAGTTTGAAACCAAAACCTGGAACATTATGCAGTCTCAAATCTTAACTCCTAATTTGAGTATTAACATTTTAATCCAGCAACTTTTTTGTGCTTCTCAAGAAATATAAAAGGAGGAGGGGTTTATGTGGGTGTGACCCACTGCGCTCCACCCCACTCCCAGTGTGACCATCTATTGTCTGGGAAGCAAACAGTGAGGGAATGAAGAACAGATGGTATTCTGCGAGTGGCGTTCTGATACATGGTGTATAGGCATCCAGGAGGGTGGGGGTAGTGGGGGTCATTGTTCTTCTGTCACATCCCTACACCCTCCTCCTCCCAAAGCACCGAGCCTGCAGTCTCTGCGTCGGAGCCCCCCTGACCCATGCCCATCTGCTGGTCCCCGGGCCGGACATTGTAGCATTGTTGCAGCGTAGATTAGTCAATACCGAGACACGCTTCAGTTCAATGTCTCGAACAGTGTTTGTCTTGACGCTGGCAGGCAGCAGCGCAGACAATACACAGAATATTAACACATCCATCTGAGGACAAGCTGAAGTGGCCATCATTATACCGTTTTGGTGACCAGTTGGGGACTTTTCTTTGGCGTGATTTATTCGGCTGCAGCACATTCATTGGTATGAAAAATCAACCTGGTGTCTAAAGGCCACGGCAGTCAGTAAATCTTACGCATAGAACAACTTCAACACAGGGCTGCATCTAAACACTTTATCGACTATGTTCACACGCACAAAATATGCAGGTTTTTGCCCTTATTCCGAAAAAGATAAACATGACTAAGGAAAATGAATATTCCACAAATATTCCCTTCTACATGCAGCTGTGCATACTCCAATTAACATGCCCTAACATGTTTATCATGTCAAAATATGGAAAAGAGGAGTCGCTTGTGTCATTTTGCTTTTATTGCATCGCAAAAAGATTCTTTTTTAGATTTATCCACATGTGGCGGACTTGTTCAACTGTCCAAACACAGCCTCCCTCTTTCGTTCCTTCAACCAACCTCTTGAAGAAGTCAGTACTGCGATAATTGTGCATATCCAAGTCATCTTAAAAGCAGGTTTGTTTGTCCTTCAAACCTGAAACTTGGGCTTTTCTTTTCGGCATCTCTACCTCACAAGCCTTGCAGACTGTTGCAGAGTTGGTTTGTGTACAACGCATCCATGACAACACAGAGCCGATACTCCTCAAACTCAAATAATATTTGCATATCCCACATCCTTATTGGAAAATACTACTGTTGTTAAGCGAACCTGAAGAAGCCAGGGGCTAAACGCGTTGTTTGCTCTTAATAAAATTACAGTAATTCAGTTCAGTGAACGGTGGTTTATGTTGATGATTTTATTTTGTGGCAGACCACCGCCTGATTCTTGAGACTGGCTGTGCAGAGGGAGTTCAGTTTACTTATCCTTGTTGGAAAATACTACATTCGGAAAAAGATATAATTGTGTTTACATGGCCAGTATCAAATATGATCATATTCTGAATAATAGTGGAACTGTTTAGTCTTTAAGATGTCAGAAAATAGTGACCACAGTTTCTTAGAAAGATGGTGTCTTCAAATTGTTTTGCGCAACCAAACAGTCTAAAATTCAAAGACATGCAGTTTAAAACGCTTTAAATCAGAGACAAATAAACTTCTTTATAGCCAAATAGATTTTTAGTACAAAGTTTGACCTCCTGCTGGTGTTACTGTAGATTTCTCACCCTCATTTCTCTTGCAGGTCACAGTCACAAAGTACAAGCTTAGACCCCTGTATATATGTCAAACAACTCTCCATGTCAGCAGTGAGAGCAGGATAATCCAAGAAAAGGATCTAGAAGATCAACCAGAGAACCATGCAGAGTGTTCAGCTGTGACTGAACTAATGCTTTACAACCCTGTGACACAGACGCATATTGCATTAAAGCCACGACTGTTTGGTGCAGACGAAGGGAGGCACCTACTGTCAGTCTTAAATACACAAAAAGAACTTGACAGCAGCCGTGGCAAATACTGACAGCCACACATACAACAATCAGCTCCTGTCTCTGTCTGTATCTGCTGAAATGAAACTGATCTGTTTGAACATGATGGTGTAAATTTCTAAATCACTGAGCTATTGCCTTGACCACCACATAACAGCCAGCACATGCACGCAGGGCAAAGTTCAACCCAACACTGAGCGCAGTTTAACTCACACAGAATCCCATCACGACATGTTAAACTGATAACCCTGTTTGACGTTACACAAACACTGGGGCAACATCTCGACTCCAGGAGGCTTGTTTAACAGTAATTATACTCACAGTGTTATTTACAGACAGTGCTGCGTTGTTATGCAATGAACAGTGCCTGCTGAATCCTGTGTCTATATTACATTTTGGGATCTGCTCTGCATGCCACTAAGCTGATTAGCTAAGAATAACGCCTCGCTGGTGGCCTGTGGCTGCCGAGAAACACAGTACACACAAGGACAGGAGGCGATAAGGATGGCATCCCAGTGTCTGGAGGTTCAGAGCCATACTGGAAAAAACTCAGAACATCAGTCTTAGCCTTTTACCTCACGCTTCCGGGGAACCGCTGAGTCATAGTTGTCCTCAGGATCATCCTCCTCCTCAGCCGGGTTTGCATTTGTAACCTCAGAGAAGTCTGAAATAGGCTCGATGAACTCTGGCGTGGAACGGCGGCCGTAACGTTTACTGCCCTTCACAAACTTTGGTTCGATCTCAGGAGATTCTGAGGAGACACAATGATAAGTGGAGTCATGATTGTGATCACTTATACAAAATATAATAGTCAGGTTTGCACAACAGAGGTTATTATTAAATACAGAAATAAAAAATGTTCAGTGACTAATACATGTCACAGCCTTCAGCAGCTACTTCCCCAAAAGTGACAACTTCTCTAAAAGTGCTAACTTTAAAAGCCACATGTTCCCATTTGTTTAAATGAAACAGACATGAATTTACAGTTTTCATATGACTTCATACTTCATATGACCTTGGGTCGAGATGTCACATGGATGACACTTAGGTCCCAAGTTGATGCCAAAATTCTGACAACGTGATTACATTTGAGAGACACGTGGACAAGTAAATAAAAGTGTAATTTAAATAGGTTTCAGAGTAGAGCAACTAGTTTATAAGCTCCCAGCTGTTTTGGGTTTTTCTCCAGCACCATAGGTAAAGTAGGTCCCGGGGATGCACTGCTTCTGTGACCTGATGGAGCATTCTTTATGGTACATCATCCAAAGTCTTAAATAAAATGTTAAATGCCAAAAGAAGAAGTACCCCCATCAGCACAGAACAACAGCAAAAACACTTGGAAGATGGTGACAAGTGCAACTACAGCGACAGTCCTGTCTCAACTCGTTGAAAGAGAAAGTATTTTCCTGAGTCCAGTGTATTATTTGAAGTCTTTGCAATCGGAGTGCCGCGTATTTACACTATGCTGTAAAAGCCAGCAGCGTGATGAGACACTGAGCGTCTATTTTGTACTGAGTGCTGCACATTTGGTGTTTTTTTTTGTCTTTCTGATCACCATGAGATGAAAAATATTCAACCCTGGCGAACACTGTGCTCAGAATTTTCACTGTTTACCCAGCTGTCCAATTAGGGCTGGGTAATATGTCGATCTCTATATTTTTAAATCTCCTCAAAAGCACTTCATAAATGCTAGGACTGGGAGACAAAATCGAACATAACAATACCCTCGCTGATGCAAAAAAAAAGTTGTGTGGATGACTACTGTTTTGTTTTTTTGTTTTTATTTTTCAGAAAATATTAACACAATAACAACTACGTGGGTTAAGGCAAGCGTTAAAACAAATAAAAAGTCTGGTAAGTTGATAAATCTACATCACTTTACTACAATGCAGCCTTTAAAACCAACACAATAGGGGTGTCAGTGGCTTAGTGGGTAGAGCAGGCGCCCCATGTACAAGGCTGTAGCCGCAGCGGCCTGGGTTCAAATCTAGCTTGTGGCCCTTTGCTGCATGTCATCCCCCCTCTCTCTCCCCCCTTCATGCTTACCTGTCCTGTCCATTAAAAGCAAAATGCCCTAAAAAAATCTTTAAAAATCAACACAATATCGAAAATCTAAGACAATATATAGTCTTATATCTCAATAAGGATATGATATCTTCATATTGCCTAGTCGTCCAATCACAGTGGGGAAGGGGCAGAACAATTAGCCTACTAGAATGTGAGATGTGACGAACAACTACAACAATAGAGAAGAAATATGTGAATATACTGTGGGCATTATGTAAATATGTTTCCTCGCCCACAAAATCTCATGAACCCACAGAGACTATTGCTTTGCGCTTAAAATGGATCATCAGGGATAAATAAAATTTAGACTGCATTTCATTTAAATGTTTTAAATAAAGAGGTGCATGATGAAACACATGGGATTTACGGTTTTGTTTTTTACTGTGGTATCTTATTGGGTGTTACAAATTTTAGAATTTCACTGGTATTGGTATCGACGACTAAATTTCTGGTATTGTGACACGCCTAGTTGAGACAAAAGTATCACAATATGGAAGCATGATATAGTAATACTTGTTCTGGTAATACACCTATGGGGTTAATAGTCAGTTAGTGATCACCTTGTGGGACCTTATAGAAATAAAATAACTGGGCTGAAAACATGAGGGTTAACCAGGAGTCTGAAGTATTCATTCACAACTTGAGACTATAAACAAATGTTACCAAGAAACAGCTTAGTATAAAACCAATCTTTGCATTAACTACATCCATAAAATAAACCATGCCAGCAAACAGTTCAACTGTCGGTTAATTGGCTTTGAACCTGTGCTTTTGGCTCTGAGCCTCTGTATGTAGATTTACAGCTGAATCAGCATGTGGGGTGCTCCACCTCTTCAGCCTTCACAGTCACCTTCTACGCTTGGTTGACTCACTGAGTGGAAAAAAGTTCAAAATTAAACTGATTCTAAGTTACATATTAGATTAATGATATGGCCTCAAGCTTTGTGCTTGTTTTCAGGCAGAATCTAGATGTTACCTGGTTTTGACAAGGTCTCCTGTTCTGCTTGTGGCGCCTCAATAGTTGATGACAACACCAGAATCAGTGCATTCTTGAACTGGTCGAAGTCAACCTGCAACAAACAGAAAAGAAATACAGTCTTACATAAATGTGAGGAAATGCCAGTGATGCTTAGAATGTGGAGCCAAGTATTATCACAGCAAAAGTTCATGAAATTCCTCAGACTGGATGTAATATTCCCAGTGCGTCGGGTGGAGGCTGGGTGTCCCTGGGTGTCTGGGTGGAGGAGGGTTTGCTGAGCAGAAGCACCGAGGTCACACTTCAAGAATCAACAGCTGCTAACCCTGAATATGGTGATTTTCTTTGTGCGGCGAGGCTGGCGGCTGCCGGCTTTACGTGGGGGTTTTCTTTTTTTTGACTTTATTGTTGGATGCCATGGGCAGGCAATCAGTTCACTCGCCCTCTTATAACATTTACCCCCGCCCACACACACCCGCATATGCAAGACAATAGCCATCCGTCTGTCCACACGCTTATGTAGAAACACAAGTTGATGCAAAAGTGTGGAGGTAAGCAAGTTGGATCAGTCTCATCCTTAAGCTGAAAAGTACAAACTGTAAATCCTTTAAGTGCACAATCAATTTGAGACAAACTGAGGTCCAATTGTAGAGATCAGACCAGTGTCCTTTCTATTTTCTACACTTCCACATTAAGCACCCTCAAAGAAATGCATCTATGAATGGTGATTAGTCAGCTCTGTTGTCCTGACGACAGACACCTGGGATCAGGGCTGATGGGGGCACATTTTCTCCTCAACAAGACAGCTAACAAAGCACCAAAAAGCCCAGAGACACAAAGACCTGAGAGCTGGAGTGGCTCGATGCAGGCGTCTGCCAAATTCAAAGGATACACAGGGACGCCAAAAGGCCACGACTCACATGAGCATCAGAAAAGGATCAATATAAATCCTGCAAATACAAGCTTTCTAAGCACATTACTGCACGGCACTTGTAGGAGGGAAACAAACACTTATTTCAGTGGCAGAGGAATAAACTCACCCTGGCAGTGAGGCGGTCCTGGCTCTGCAGTAGTGTTTGGAGAAGAGCTGGCGTGGCATCGTCTAGGTGCAGGGACTGGCAGAGGTCGGAGAGTTCCTCCGGGCACAGTGAGCCACAGCTGCTGGCATCAAAGCTATTAAAAACTTCCTTTAGGCGCTCCTCGTAGTGGTCCTGCTCTTGGGTGTCATCCATCCCACAGGACAGCACCCTGCCCTGAAAGACAAGGAGGGAAGAGTCTGGTTTCATCACGCTGTCCATCACATTTAAGCTGATGCGTCTATTCAGAGTCACATGCAAGAACAGGAACAGAATTCAACTTTAAATCACTGTTAAAGAGGTACAACAACAAAACAAGAAGTCAGAATATCTCCAGTCTAAATTACCAGCATCATATATATCCAATTACTGCTAAGAGACACTCACAAACAGGGTGGAAACATCTAACTCAACAGCATGCGTTCCTAAAAGCTCCTTCATCTGACAGTGCCGCTGTGCGACTGAGCCACCAGCAAACCGCTCCAGCGTCATTTGTGGTGGAGGCTTTGGCTAATCCAATTAGAATGATTAGACAATCAGGTAAATTGATAGACGTGGCCAAGTCTAACACTGACCATGACTCTCTTCTAACGCCTTTAGCTTGGGGGTTTTACAACCCATGTAATTCAACCTGAGGCACAGGTGAAAGGGAAAATCCACCTTGTATACACAGTTTGATGTGGTTTAAATGCATGTTAGTATTGTTGATAAAAACGTGAGGGTTACTGATGATAAAAATGCTAAAAAGCAGCATGTTTGAAGTTCTTTATCTAAATGCTTCTTCAAATACTTCACACTGGTGATAACGACGAAGGACAAAGACAGCAAAGTGGCTCTGAACCAAGTGGAACAAGCAGCCAGGAACTAATTGGGGAAGGTCACATCAAAAGCCTCCAGCCAACATTCACCGGCTGGCAGCATCCGTTACAGAGACATGGACAAAGTTGTTACACGCTCTGTTTGGATGCATCATGGTGTAATTGAAAAACAAAGACAACCATTTGACAGAGAGCAGGGCTCCTTTGTGTCCCCCCAAAACAGAAGTCAGGAGTTAATATAATAATTAAGTAATAATTCAAGGGGCTAATCTTTCATTTTGAAGAGAAACAAATGCAAGACGTACTTGTGCATTGAATAAAAGAAAAGAAAGGAGTCAGATTAACTTAAGCAATGACATAACTCATAGACGCAACAGTCCAGGTCAGCCACCTGAAGCTTAAGCAAGATGATGTCAGTTAACATGACTGGAAATAGCAATGCAAGGCTGAGCAGCATAAAACATTTATCTCTTTAGCTTCTATTTTTACTTTCCACAAATTGTACATCGGACTGTAGCAAACATAATTCTGCGCACTACATAAGTGCTGGGGCTTTGGGCACCAGCTGTATGTTCATAAGGTGCCTTCATTGCTTTTTTTTTTTTTGCTTTTACTTGACTTCAACTACCAGCACTCCTTGAATGCCTTTGGTTTGTTGCATTATAAATTATTTTCTTGGCTTAATCCTGCATTTTTCTGTTGTTGGAACAACTTAAATCTCTTGCTATACAAATTATCATCTTACTACTTACAGCACATCTTACGGCCTTTTGGTTCCCAGCACAGCTTTATCTTTATGTCATAGCTTTTATCAAACACTCTTTGTTTTATTCTGAACTGTCTACATAGTACTGCTCTTTTACTACTTTCAGATGTCTTCAGGGTGTTTCTACTGTGTTTATGTTCCATGTTTTAATGCGCAAAAATAATTTCCTCTTGTGGGACAACTTTGTTCTTTAAGCATCAAATAAATGCTGTGTGTGACCTTGTGAATAAAGTTTGAAACGAAGAGCGCACCACTTTTTATCTAATCAGTTGAAACTTCCCAGTTTGAGCCTACATGTCTATGCAAAGAGCCTCCTGACCCCAGCTTTTCCAGCTGCTCTCACTGAAATCATGAAGCGCTCAGCCAGGTGTCCCCCACACCCCATTCTCGGGGTGCCCATTCACCGCAGACAATAGGGACAAAAACCAAATCAGTATTCTGCATCTGCACATTGGAGCAGCTTATGAAATGCAAGAAAATCATGGCTCAGCATTGTGGCAGCTTGTCTACAGCTGGAGTGATGACCTATTAAATATATATATAAAAAGAAAAACAAATGCACCAAGTAAGTTTCTATGCAAGTTTCACTCCACACACTTTGCTTGTGTTGTCGCACTGATCAGTTTGTATTCTCCAAGCAGCCTCTGAGCCAATTATCCTGGTAGCCCTCCTGCTCGGCTCGGCCACAGTGGCTCATGGTGGCCGAGGTTTGACAGCTGCTGCAGCCAAAGAATCACTCTAGTCCAGGTCACAAGAAGGAGGTTAATCCTTCACATCCTTCACACCATCTCAGCATCCACTGACACTGGTAATTATCACTAACAGATGTCAAAGCTGGGAAAGTAAAATAAAAAACAAAACAAAAAAAAAATCAGAACTTTCTTGCTATAACATCACCCTAGTGAAACACTGATGGGTGTGCTATGTTTCTGTTGGCCATTTTGGGATAGAAGATGACTGTGGAACAAAAGGAAGTTCCCTGCCTTTTTATAAACAAACTATTGTCTCCGTGCAGACAGAATCACATCATATCTCGTATTCGCTGCGGCAGTTATACAACTGCATTCTCATAATCTGAAGTTACTGTTAAAGGAGAACTAAACATTAAGCTCACAAAATATGATCAGAAAAATGTTTTCAGGAGAACATTTTTGGAATAATTAAGTATAATTATCTAATATTTGATTCAAATATTCTATATTTATTTTCAACTGTAGGAGTAAAACCCATACTGCTTTGTACTTGCTTTATTTTTGCTATTTTTCTGACTTTTTGTGCAAATTTTTTGTGCGTGAACCCCCCAAAAAACCCTTTCAATTGTCATCATGCAACATATTTTCTATCATACTGCATTTTTTCAATTGTTTGCATTACTTTGCATGGGTACAACGAACAAAAGAACAATTGCAAAGCTTCAGGAAAAACAAAACACGGAATTTGTCCAAAGAAAAGCCTCTTAAGAATGTATGAATGTTCAAAATTCAAAAACAAAATCACAATGCAGACAGAGAATTGTATAAAAACTTCCCAAGGATATCAGGAAAACAAATCTCTGTTGCGATATGCCGACATAATCTGCTGAAAATTCATCCAAATCGCTCGCTTCCTGCAGTTACTGCATTCACTATTTAGATTAATGTGCAGCTTATCATTTTGTCTCTTCTGTTAATATTATGCATTGATTATAATATGAAATATCCATAACATATGTCACTTAGTCAGGGGTCATCAATTTACTTAATGATTGTGAAGAGGTCCCTTAAGAAAAAAGGTTAGGAACCACTGGCTTAGGAGAGGGGTGTACAAATTTATTTAAAAAAAATTTGCAAAACACTTTAAACTTTGTACAGTTTTTTGCAAAGTGCATTGCACAAGGTAATCAATGAGACAGCATGCTGTTATTTATTCATTGCAAATCACATCTACTCATTTTCAACACTTTCACAGTCCAAGCTGATGAAATTGGGGGAAATATTTGCATGTTTTCAAATCAAATCCACAAAAGTCTCATTAATTACTAACCTTTTAAATCAATAAAATATGGTGGGATCACTTTTTACTGCCTCACAGTCATATATCCATCACAGTGTCTTCTTTGAGATATGCAAACAATATTAAAACAACTTGGAAAGCCACGTTTCATTCGTGGAAACTTTAGAAAAAACAAAACTTTTAAGGATTTTTAACGTCAGATGCAGAACCTCTTAACAGGATAGTGCAGCCAACTGATGAGACATTATCTGACCATAGACAAGACATGGTCTGAGGACAACAATAAAACAAAGCGATTTAATGAAGTATGGAAGAACATTTATAAGGCCCTAAAAGACTAATAAAAACATATCATAATAATGCTAATTTAGGGAAAAAGACATGGCTTGCATGATTGTGAAGGGAAGGGTAGATCCAGTGGAGTATACTAAACATAAAACTACTATAATGTGTTTGTGTGTAAGTGGATGGGGTGTGTGAATTGGTTGGGGGATTTCTATTATGTGTAAAATGAATGAATGAACTAATGTGGTATGAATGTTAATGTGACTTATTTCTTAAATGGAGTTTATGTAATATACTGGTGTTTTTATTTTAGCCTAACACCTCAGTAGGACAGTTCATTATATACTATTTTATACACCAAAGTACATAATAAATGTTTGTCAGAATGAAACTGTCAGCAGCATCTCATGGTGGAAAGCATGAAATCAGATTAAGATAATTATTATTTTTTGCAGCCAAAATGTAGCGAATAAATCTCCATTTTGCATCCCTCATTGGAAATACTGCCTTAGTAAAGCCTGGACACATCATGACTACACCTGGTCAAAGCTAGTTATGAGCATGAAACACACGTTAACTAGCTGTTAAAGTTAGTTTAGCTAACAAGTTAAACTAGCTAAAGAGGATTCCCATAGTAAAGTGATGAGCTAGGCTAACAAGCTAATTTGTCAGCATTCATGTTGGGAGGAGGAAACGGTTTGGTCAGGACTGCTGTTGGCTCCAACTTCATCCCAAAATGTTCATGTTAACTGTCAAAGAAAGAAGAGGAAGCAGAGAAACAGTGCGGACACTGTTAGCTTACCAAAGTGTCTGAACTCGGACGACAGTTGGCTCCTTGTCCGGCTGAATTTTGGAGGTTACCGTTAAAACGCGGGTATAAAATAAAGTTTTACAACATTTCTCCTGGTGTCTCGTGGCGGCTCCTCCTCAGGTGTAAATGATGTTATCCACACAGAGACGTTAGCTGAGCTGTTAGCTTGGAGATACAGTGTGTTGTTTGATGGGGCTTCTTGTTCTGTTATGTCCACACAGCATCGGAGAGGTTGGTGGTCGCTTTGTGTCCTCGGCTGTGTCTCATCCTCCTCAGGCTGCTAGCGGATTTTGAAAAGCGGCTGATAGAGGAAGGGGCGGTGACAGAGAGCTGACTGGTCACAGGCCGGCCCCCTGTGGACCAAAGCAACACTGGTACACTAATATAACTCCACTGCTTTAAGATAAAGAAATGCTCCTGTTAGTATCTGACTGTCATATCTTAATTCAGCAATTGTTCATCATATATTGTGACTTTTTGGCACCTGGCTAGCTGGTAGCTATCAGAGGAAGTTCAAACCATAGCATCCACCCATGCTTGGACACAGCTAACAGTGTTCAGATCCTTTAGGGACTGTTCATTACTTATAAGGGAAGAGAGAGGGGTGCAAAAAGGTGGAGGCATGTCAAATATTTTTTTCAGCACTGGGGAGGGACTTCACTATCCATACTGTCATATTATACAGTAGGTATGCCAGAAGAAAGATTTATGCAGTCAAATGCAGTATGCCAAAAATATCAGGATGTTCTGCTACATCAGGTCTGATTTTGCAGTATG